TTCCGCGAGACCTTCGGAGAGAGAGAGTTCACAGTGAGAGGCCTCTGGTTTGGGTCTCGCGGAATGGTTCCTAAAAGAACAGGGAGCTTCTTCAAGGAACTAGGTGTTGTTATCGGGGAGCTTGCAGTGATGGCCGAGGGTATTATTCTGGACTCCCTTGGGATCAGTCATCACCATATATATGGTAAAATAGGGTTTGATTATCGTTATTTATGTATTTATTCAATTTTAAATTATTTAAGTGATCACATCTTTTTCTCTATGTTCATAGGACTATGTTATTTGCTGTGTGTGCGTTCTAATTTTCTGGTTTTAAAACTTTGGCATTCGATTACCATCTTTTTATTTTTGCCCTATAAGTTTCAGAAATTATTTTATATAGGTTTTACCGAAATATGTATATATTGTAATTGTGTGTAGTAGTATATTATAGTATTGATATTCTTTATGCTGTGTAATATGAAAAAGAATTTATATATGTATAAACATATGGTTAAGTATAATTAAGCGCTATGTCCAAAAAACAAGGATTGAGTGTGCTGTGTATCGAGCAACCCTATATAGTAGGGCAGCACTGTTTTAAATAAAATATTTCTCTCTCAGTGGGCATATCCTAATATGTAATTTTATTGTTAAAAGTTTTGAACCTAGATTTACATACAATGTATTTATTTTGTAATATTCCTTTCTCTCTATCTCTCTCAATATACATAACAGTCGTCGCTAGTGGTCTCAGAACACGAAGCGACGATAAATAAAAGCAAATGAAAAAACAAATTGGAAACAATCTCTCTAGTTCATAGGTCTTGAAATAGTCGCTTCAACATTTCACAAAACTTTTTTAAATAACATTAAATTTAGAATAGATACTTTTGAAAAAGAAGCGAATTTATAACTACACTGCTTGCTTTAAAAATTCTAATGATTTGTATCTAAAATTAATAATTGCGACTAATAAGTCGAATTTCTAAAACAGTTTTATAACGGTTCATAGGAAGAGGTTTAACTGTTTCGAGACATTTCCTGTGGGCGGATTGTTTAAGGTCAGAGTTCATCGTTGTGGTTTCACCCAAAGGAAAAAAAAATCTTTTTAAGAATTTTCTTGAACATTTATTTAATTTATACACCATCCCGTTTCGAATCTTACAAAATGGAATTTAAAAGAAATTAGATATTTAGATATTTTTAAAAGAAATTGAATCTTTTCTGATATATATATATATATATATATATATATATATATATAATATATATATATATATATATATAATATATATATATATATATATATATATATATATATTATTTATTTATTGAGTATTACAACAATCTGTCTCTTGGACATTAGTTATAGTGAGGTAAGATAACATTCACACTATATGTACTAAATACAAAATAAATAGGAGCAAAATAATAACCAAAAGTATATACAATAAATAATAAAATAAAATAACCTGAAAAATAAGAAAATTAAAACATAATTAAACACATGCATACCTATATACACTATTTACAATTAGGCGAGGAAACCCCAGGAGAACTCTGCGCTACTCTCTCACCCGCATCACTGGTACTAATGCCAGCGGAGATTGATCGAGAGCACTTTAGCCACATACACTCATGTCATGAGTGGAGAATCTGACCATTGCCTGAACTCCAATATTTACAATCTACAGAAGATCGAAAGGCCACTGCCGTTTCAACCTTCTTAGTGGATTATAGGGATGGGTGGGTGGTGCTTGATAGGAATTTTGCAAGAGGATTTGGATGATGCGTAAGGTTCTGGTGAAATTTGGAGAATTTTTCTGGAATAAGGTCTAGGACAAATGGAATGTTGAGGTCATGGTGTAAGGTTTTGTTGTTTATGTAGAAAGGATCATCGACTATTGTTCGACTTTTGACTGTAAGGATTAGATGCAAGATGAATTAATGTTTGTAATTTTATAGAATATAATGGTTGAAAAATGTGATTGGCAGTGAAGAAATAGATATGGAATGACGTAAGGTTCTGGTTAAACTTCTAGAATTTTTCTGGGATGATATGATTAAAAACGAATTGTGCTGTTTTATTTTTAGTTGGCTAAAACTTACAGTCATCGATTGTTTCACGTGTTAAATTTTTAATTAACCGTATTGTTTGTTTATTTAAAAACTGCATTATTAATATACCTTAATTAAAATCATACCTAACATTGAGTTCACACTTAGATCACATTTATACAAGCACACGTTCCAAAGCGTAAAAACAGAATTAAAAAAAAGAAAGATAGAATAATAAACAACGTTTTTAATTTATTTTTTGTTGCTGATAGTAGGCAGGGCAGATTAGAATCTTTTAATTAAGAGCTTCACTAAGATAAATAAAAAACAAAACAATTGAAATGATTTCACCAGCTTGCAGACTTTCCTTATTGTTAATTCATAAATATTGTCATTGAAAAAGAATTCCTTCCAAACTTTCTTCGTTGTTGAATTCGAGTCTTGAATAAAAACTTTTCTGAGGAAGATTTCCTTAATTTTACTTTTTTTCCCTTCATGTAATCATTATTTGTGATATTTGTAATAATAGAAAATATTTTAAAACTTTATTATATCAGTAAATACTTGATTGGAAATAATTCGTATTTCTCTTGCTAGAAAATAACCATGCGTACTTAAATTCCGCTCAATCGGTCCGGAGGATGGTGGAATATCCCCGAAACCCCTAACCCGTGTGCTAGAAATTTTCATTTTGTACTTCCTAGGATGGCAATATGATTATAAAATTTTCGGTGAAAATATGATAAAAGTAATTTTTTATCAATTTTAACAAGAAAACTATAATTATTTATACTTTTGCTAATGGTAAAGACAAACATTAGTGTTATTCGTGTAAATAGTAAAACTCGATTGGCCATATGGGCAGCAACACGGCCAACTATCGATTCAACCGCATCGACTGTGCCAGAACCTTCGTTAACTGTCACGTGATCTGGGTCACCAGTACGTGTGTCACGTGACCAAGGTCTCCAACCCCTTTATGTACCTAGGTCACATTCGTTAGGGTCAGATCCTACTCGCTAAACATTAGAGGAATTGAACAAAAAAAAATAATCGATCAATGTTTGCATATCCATGTCCTTAATGTATATACTCATATATATATATATATAGTATATATAATATAATATATATATATATATATATATATATAGGGAGCTGGTGTAGCAGTATTTCAGTCACCGACTTCCTATAGTCAAGGTTTTAGGATTATAGGATTCAAATTCGGCTGATGACAGTCATTATTTATTTTTAGGGAGTCTCATAGGACAAATTCAACTTCTATAAAGTGGATACTCTTTAACTTAAGAGTGATCTCGGCCCGATCACCTCCCTGCACAATCGTTGGCTTAGAAAAAGTACTTTTTTTTACAAACTATTGAATCCAAGAAACTTTTATGGGCAGTAGAGATACAGATTATTTTTTGTACAAATGTACATGTATGCCACTTTTAAAAAGTTAAGAAAAAACACATTTTCTATAACATAGATTCAATTTAAACTTCTAACTATTTTATTTTATCATTCAGCTTTAACATTCTTTAATAAAATCATTATAAAGAATTTGAGTTGAAACCACAAAATCAAAATCCACTATTTATGCTGTTTCTGAAAATGACAGGGGTCGTTTATGCTGTTTGCTTCGGCGTATATATATAATACACTGTAATATATAACGAAAGCAAAAGCTAAAATTACTTTATAATTCTAAAATTCTAGTGACGTAATTAGGCATTTTTGATTTATGACAAGGTAAGGGAGCTTTATTATTATTTATTTTTCCTAGTTCAGAATAAATATTTTTAGACAGTTATTAAATAAAACATTATTGGTTAATAATTTACGAGTTATAAAAGGTATAAATAATACGCAAAGTATGAAGTGATAAATATTTTTGCTTTGTTATGAAAAATCATATTTTTTTTTTTCGGGACTGTCAATTTCCTATCCTTGATTTTGATTATGCCATTTTATTGCACTTATTTTGTTGATTAATATGGTTGAAATTCACAATTCAGATATATGTTCTTATAAGTTTATCTCTGTCATAAATGTGTTTAATGATTAATTGCAAAAACTTGAAGATTTTTTCATTAATTAATACCAATAACATATTGTATAATTTATTTGCTCATATACATGAATGTATATGGAAGAAAAATATAAAACATTGAAATCCCTTCATTAAAAACTCTGAAAGGTTAAAAAATCATCTACTGGAAATGAAATTTCTGTGACTCTTCTATATAAACAATGACACCGAAAATATGTTTTCGAATTACAAACAATTAAACAATAATAATAAATTATAAAAGTTTAATTATGCTGAAATGAAAATTCAACCTCTGTTTTCTGTTTTTTTTTTCTCTTGTAGTCTAAAGTTAGTTTTAATTAATCTTCAAAACGTCAACTTTTTTTTATTTTAAAAAATATTTTGTACTTTAAAATATGTACTGTGATCTAATGAGACAATTACTCTTCTATAAATTTAAGAATACTCATCATAATTCAATATTACATCAAGCATTCGTTTTATTGCAACTTCTGTAAATTTGGTAATATTTTATAATTTCTTCATCAGATAATTTAATATTTAAAAAAAAAATGTACTTTACGTTAAATTTTCAACTCTTAAGTTAAACATTTGTTATCAGTAAAGACTTTCAACTTTTCTTGTGTGATTGTGGCATACATGGCTATACCATCATTAATTATATTTCCTTCAGATTTTTATTTTAGTTGATCTAGAGTGTTCAAAATCGAGGTCGGTCAGGATAATCGATAAATCAATTTTGAATGATTTAATCCAAGTTATTACCAAAGGCACTTCTATAGTCAATATTTTATAAAATATTTATGAGCAAGCAAAACCATTGTGCAAAGCAATGTAATAGCACTATTGAACAATCTGCTCATTTAAAATTTAAAACATTGATTGTTATCTATAGGTTATCTCATAAAAATAATTAAAAAACATTATTCGGTCAACTTATTCATTTATGTATTTTGTTAGTGTCTGTAATATAAAAAATACATATAAAATCCATGTCCATCCCAAAGGATTTGCTTTCCCATTCCCTACCATATCTCCAAGCACTATTATTTCAAGTTTTAGTTATATAAGAACCTTTGTTAAGTAATTTAAATATGCAATTTATTATATACATTATTTACATCTTTAATTCTTACAATATCTTCAAATATAGCAAATCAAATTTAAGCCATTTTTCTCTAGGAAATACTTAATTCAATTAGCATTTTGCATCTTAAAACTTCAGCATTTTTCCGAAAACATCTTAGATGAGCCTTTCAGTTGACTGAATGACCAACTGCTATTTAAACATTTTTGAGTAAAGTCATTTTAGTGATATTCCTAGTTTTATTGGATTATAATATTTGGAATAATTATAATATCTGTACAGACAGTGAGTAAGTGGATTCCAGAGTAGGTGATTGCAGTGTCGAAATATAGAGCTGTGAATAAATATAAAATATTCCCTTTAGAAATATCACAAAAATTAATAATCAAAAATTTCGAAACTGAACTAAGTCATGAAATACAAAATAACAGTACTGGTGTAGGAGAGAGTATTCTATAATTTAAACAAATTATGGTTTTAAAACTTTAGTTTAATAATATATATTGTTAATTCTTATTTCTATCAGTTGTTATTTTTATACATTAATTTTATTTTCATCAACCACGCTTTATATGCTTCTAACTTGATCCTTTGTCACTTCCATGGATTGGTTCTACATTATCCTTATCTGTAAAAACACAAATTTATGTAATAAACAATCATGATACAAGACTTTAAAACAACTGAATAGCAAAGCAAAGGTTATAACCTTTCGCTTATTTATCAATGTAGTTTGTATATTAATTATGACTATGACTTTTCTATATTTTTCTGTAACATTATTATTATTGTCACTTAATTACACGGCCAAAAAATAATAATGAAAAAATCATTCAAATATTTTATGAAGTGTTCTTAAATAGCTTCATTTTTATGAAATATTTTCATTCGTGAAAGGCCATTAAAATCTAATTGATAAAATGTTGACGTGTTTAGATATGCCTCCATTCATAAATCTACTTCGTTCTTTTGTTGTTATTGCTATATAACTCTTTCAGATAAAAACCCTGAAGCGATGTTTCACCGAACCTTTTGAAGGGAAAACATGCTACGAATTTTTCGTTTTCGAATTTCGTATCAATTCCTTTTCTCTTCACTTGTCTACAATTTATACTATTGTCTGGTTTGTGTTGGAATCACCGGTAAGCTAAAAAGCTCGTATCTCCTAATTTTTCCCTAAATTGAGTGAAATTCTCTTAGCAATTTGAATTATTAATGATAGAAACTACACTCATTAAACTGTTTTTTAAATCTTTTCAAAACCTAAACAAATAAAAAAAAAGTTGACCCAATATCAATGGATAACTCAATTTTTAATGATCGTAATTGGCAGAGGATTCAACAGCCATGAGTAAAAGTTTTGTATTTAGTAAAAAGATTATTCTGTATATCATTTCAGTACTAACCAATATAATAAAAAAATTTGAACAAGAAAGCAAAACAAAATTTTTATTGACATGAAATTACTATTCCTTAATGAACCGAAAAAGTCAATTGAAAATTAGGAAAATCTATAGATTTCGTCCTAAGAAACTTGAACGAAAACTTATGAAAGTGTACTCCAAGATTCATTAACTATTAAAAAAATTAACTATTCAACTAATTAAAACCGAATTCAAACAAATTGTAGACTTGGACAGTATAAATGCATTAAAAATAACGATTCTCAATATTGAAGGATAAATTTTGGTGTAAAGATTTACTTGTACACATAACAAAACACATTATTTTAAAAGTACATATATCGAAAGTATCTTAATGGAGCTTTATGTGAATTATACAACCGCAAATAACACTGTTTTTAAGAACAATAATCAATTTGTACCTTTTGGCTTTCAATCGCTAAAATAGAAGTGTCTTATTGGAAAATCATTTGAATTTTTCATTATACTGGCAATTGGAGTCAGTCTTAAAAACACTATTTTTTTATTTTCAATATGATTACAAGTATTACGATGGGTTTTTCGAAATCTTACTTGAAGAGAGAATTTTTAAAAAATAATCCTCGCGATACTAAGCTTGACCATATTGTTTGAACCTTGACCATATCTATTATTCCAAATAGATCAAACAAATCAGTAGCAAAGTTTTTACTCTATTTAATACTTACAAAAGTAGTTTTTGCTGCCAATTTTTGGAGGCTGAAGATCCTGAGAGGGTTCTGGAACATGTGTAGTGGTTGTGTGGTACTCCTTCTCCGTTTTATGCTCACTGATCTAAATTATAAAAAAAATAAAAATTGTGAATATTTATTATATTGTTAAATTTAATCTGGATGAGAGACCCCCTTCCTTAATAAACCGTGGTAATTTAAACAAACCAGGAAAGAGGTACTGCTGTGAAGAGATGGGAAAATATTACTCTGAGTGCAGAGTACGAAGTATTTTACTCAAATTGAATCACAATTGAGAATTCAATCACTACTTCAAATAACCGTTTGACATCAAATGAAGTAGTAATTAAATTCTTTGGTACAAAAGCAAATTCAGTATTTGAGTAAAATACTTGGTACTCAATACTCAGAGTACCTGACATATCAGTTTTTTATTTATTTTTTATGGTAACGTTGATCATCGACTATTGTTCGAAGGAGTTTTGACTGGAAGGATTGGATGCAGAATTCGTAATTTTTTAGAATATAGTGGTTGAAAAATGTGATTAGCAGTGAAAAACGCATATGGAATGAAATGATATTTAAGTCAAGCTAGGGCCGATAATGAGGAATAACAGAACGTTTTGTTATAGTCAGTAATTTTTGTATAAATCAGTTTTTGAGTTACTTAACACCCAAAGGTATTGATGGATAAACGTTTGGCAAGACACATTGTTTTCTTTTCTTCACACCTAGTTTTCACCATCTTATTTATTATTTTTATTTATGCCCCGACGGCTTTTTCAGTAAAACCGTCATATATCCACTTTTAAAAGACGTGTGTTTTTCTCCAGGAACAACCGTTTAACTAGTTATGTACCGTCAAAAAATCCTGATAAATAAAATCCTACTTGCCGAAAGTGCCGTAAACGCTTGATGATTCCAAAACTTAGTCCACTAAAACACCATCACAAGAAGATAGAAATAGTGGTAAATTCCACTTGATGTCTGAAGATAGAGGAAGAAGAAATGGCTGAATACATATTGCATGATCTCTGTGTGTTTTTTTGATAAATTTATCTCCCGAAAGAACCAATTGTGTCGTAGTGGGCATAGACTTCCCATCCCTTCAATATATAGATAATAAAAACTAATAACATATTGCATACGAATAATATTAGCCATTGTTGTGTTTTGTATTATAAGAAGCTTGTTTATTCATCGTCGGTAACCATCATGGTTTTAATTAATATTAAATGTGACTTCAACTAATAATTATCAGTACTATTCTTTTAATCTCTGCATCAAACGACACAGTAGAATATTTGCAAACATAAATGGAAATATATTTAATTATCTTTGAAACATATAGCGTATTATTATTTCTATTTGTAAAATAAAGGACTCTCAGTAAAAACATGATATATCAGAATGGGAATTGATATGTCTTTTTTAAATGAAACATGTTTAATACAATGTTATACCTTCAAAGAGCGACCTCCCGATTCAGCAAACTAATACTTCAAACAAAGTACTTCTGTTATTTCATTATCATTTTATTTAGTTGTTATTAATTACAAGGTATCTTTCTTTTAACTAACTATGTTGTCAAAATCTGATTCCCAGTGTTTAGATCTTGTACAAGGATTTAAAGGCAGGTATATATTTTTTATAATGTTAGAAGGATGACCGTTTTACTGAGAGATAATCGTATTTTATTAAATTGCTATAGTAATTATATCTATTATCTTTCTTACAGGTGAGGAACGATTTCATAGCTCGTGAGTCTGCAATCTATCTCTAGGTCACGAATTCCAAAAAGATGTCGGCCACACCTTACTACCGCGATCTTGAAGTTATTTATCGATCTTTTTATTGTTTTCAAAACTATATGTCTTCAATAATATTATTTCACGAACATTCCTTAAAGCTCTTAGGCTTTTGATTTATTTGAACTTTGTCTTCAAATTTATTCTATATTGACGGATTAGTTTGATTACTCTAGAGACTTTGACGAGCGTCATTGGTCTGACTATTACGCTATTGAAACTTAACTTTCCGAAGGATATAGGTATGAATCAGAGATAAATAGCCGATTATATGTATTTCTTCAGGAATATAAGAGGAGAAGAAATTAATCATTTTATTATATTCTTTCTTTTAGAAACCACCTTAACTTAGTTCTAACCGTGTCTATCTATTTTAAAGAGAAGGGAAAAATGCATTATATCTTAGGTATGCGCCCACACATATAATTCCTTAATTATTTATTTTTCAGAAACTTTTTAAAAATATTTTATTATTATTTCAAAAAAACTACACAAGGTAATTTAATATGTGTTCCAGATAACTAAAGATATGAAGTGGTCTTGTGAAAACCTGTAATCAGAATATGTTTAGCCTTACCATTTTCAAATCTGATTGGCATTAAAAAAAAACTTATATTTGTTTTAAACGGCCAAAAAGATTGCCTTTGAAAAAAAAAAGAAATAAATTATGTTTAAAAATCAGAAGAAACGAAAATCATCGGCTTAATTTGTAAATTATGAGTTAACAGGCTTTATTAGCTTTATTTATTATTAAAAGTAGATTTTTAAAACATCGATATGTCAGTAACACTGATCATTATTTCCAATGTTTTTGTACATTGTTTTATTAATATCTTTGATCACAGGTCAGTTTTACGACCAGCTCTAATCAAACATAGCAACTTTTTTTTTCTTTTACGGAGTAATACATTCATTATATAGATAGTTGTAATATTTTCTCCTCGCTTTTCATTCCCTTTCTTCCTAATCAAAGCTTCTCAGCTAAAATAAGATTTTCTGCTTCTATCATTAAGAAATGTATTTATCCTCTAATTATAGTTTGGTAAGCACTAATTTACAATAACAATATTATTGATTTTAAACAAAAAAGGAAAAATAAATTACGAATGAACAAATAAGAATTCAAATATGCTTATTAAAAGTACGTTTTGGTAGATATCCTCCCTCAAATAAAAAAAAGATTGACATCTATATGTTGTGCGAAATATCTAAATGGGCTCTAATATTATAATTAATAAAAATACAAGATTAGGAAGTACATCTCTTAAACATCAAGGCTATCAACAAATCTTGTTTTCGCCTAATAACAGTGTAATTACAGTAGTTAGTTTCATCATGAAATGGATAAGCATAAACGCTATCTTTACATATCCTTACTCACTTGTATTTTTTTTTATCAGAACGCCATATCTCAGTTAAATCTTCATCAAATCTAATGATCAAGTCATGATTTTGAAGATTATCTTTATTTAAGTATTCTTTCAAAAGTATACAATTTATAATTAGTAGTACCCATGATAATTCCAAAGTTTCTTAAATTAATTATAATTAGACGAAATATGAACATTATTAGCAAAGACACAGCTGTTGTTATTTGAACTCATACCTATGTTTTTATTTTTCACTAATTAAGGAAGTTTGTACAACCATAATTTATCGTATTTACAATACACTGATTATTTTACGAGGCAACACTTTGGTTAGCACTTGGAACATTTTCAAGTTTGCAAAAAATGTACATACTTATGTTTATTGTTTGAACTATTGTAATCGAATGAGAAAAAGGAAAATAATTTCGTTTATTTAATAATACATTGCATTTACTTATTTCCATATTAGGTATATTGTCACTTATGCATTTCTCCAGTTTACTATTCGAATTATTTTCATATTCCAATTAATGTTCCAAAAGTAATAACTATTATTAATTAATTATATTGTTTAAATAAGTTATTTATTAAAAAAAGATAATTCTCTATTAATTAATGCATATTAATGACCCAGTTACAATTTCCTTAGATAAAAAAATTTTTTTACAAGTTAATCTGTAACTTAAATATTCAAAGGACAGCTAATATGTAAAGAATTATGAAGAAGGACATCGCAGTTGTTTTTTTGTAACGCCTCGGAGTGATTTACAAATTAAGCGGACGATTCTCGTTTCTTCGATTTTTAAACACAGTTTATATATATTTTTTCTAAAAATGATCTTTTTGGCCGTATAAAAAAAAATATAACTTTTTTTAATGCCATACAGATTTTATAATGATAAGGCTAAACAGATTCTGATTAGAGGATTTGACAAGACCATTTCATTTCATTAATTATCTGAAACACATTTTGAATAACCATGTGTACTTTTTTTTTTAAATAATAATATAATATTTTTAAAAAGTTTATGAAAAATAAATAATTCAAAAATTATATGTAGGAATGTTTGTGAAATAGTATTCTTGAAGACATCTATTAGTGAAAACAATAATAAAATCGATAAATAACTTCAAGATCGCGATAGTAAGGTGTGGCCGACATCTTTTGTAGAATTCGTGACCTAGAGATAGATTGTAGACTCACGAGCTATGTAATCGTTCCTTACCTGTAAGAAAGATAATCGGTATAATTACTATAGCAATTTAATAAAATACGATTATCTCTCAGTAAAACGGTCATCATCTAACATTATAAAAAATATATACCTGCCTTTAAATCCTTGTACAAGATCTAAACACTGGGAATCAGATTTTGACAACATAGTTAGTTAAAAGAAGGAGGCCTTGTGATTAATAAAAACTAAATAAAATGATAATAAAATAACAGAAATACTTTGTTTGAAGTATTAGTTTGCTGAATCGGGAGGTCGCTCTTTGAAGGTATAACATTGTATTAAACCTGTCTAATTTAATAAAGACATATCAATTCCGATTCTGATATACCATGTTGTTACTGAAGTCCTTTATGTTACAAATAAAAATAATAATACGCTATATGTTTCAAAGGTACCTTTGTAAATATATATCCATTTATGTTTGCAAATATTCTAGTGTGTCGTTTGATGCAGAGATTAAAAGAATAGTACTGATAATTATTAGTTGAAGTCACATTTAATAATTATTAAAACCATGATGATTGCCGACGATGAATAAACAAAAAGAAATAAATAATAATTTCAAAGGTGAAACAGAAAAAAAAAAAAATTTTTACTCATTATTTTACAATATTAAGCATAATAAAATGTTCACATATATTCAGGGAATTTATTTTAATTTAATACATTGATGATTCCAAAAACTGCCCACACTTTAAATTGAATTATATATTTTTCTGCTTGATGTTCGCGCATTAAAAATATATATATATATATTTCTGGAAATTCCGCTCTGATTATTCTCAGAATTTCGAAATTAATTATTTTTCAAACGCATAACACTGAATAACAGTTGTGTTACATTTTCAATATAATGTAGCACTTTTAAATATGTTTCGTTTAGGAAATACAATATTGAAGCCAATGGAATTAGTTTTCTAGAATTTGGAAAATTACAGCAATATGTCTATAGTAATAAGCTAATAGGTAACTGCAAGACTGTTGCGATACTCTTCCGCAAGACCAAGACCAAGACAGAGTGCACAAGACCAACGCTAGACTTGGTCTCGCATTTAGTAAACACTAGACAGGGGAAATCTAACTAAGCCCAAATAAATAATTTGAAGAGTTAAATGCAAAAGTACATTGGTTATACCAATTATTTACATATATTAACTAAAATTGTTAAGTAATAGTTACTAACTTTTTTTTACCAGTCATGGTCTTGCATATGTATGCAAAATGCAAGACCAAGACTGATTTTGGGCAACACCGTCCCTATCTGAAAAATTACAGTAATATCTCTCATATAATAAGCTAATAGGTAACTACAAAACTGTTGCGAGACTATTGTGCCAGACCAAGACCAAGACATTGCATTTGGGCAACACTAGTAACAGGATAAAAAATCACATAAGTTTGTTTGTTTGTTTGTTTATTTAGGCTTTAAGGCGTAAAATCCCAGGGTCATCTGTGAGTCGGTTATATTTGTAAACTCTTTAGAGGAGAAATAAAAAAAAAAATTAATAATCAAAAAGTAATACAAGATATATAGAGTAATAAATGAAAAAGATATTTAATGACATATAAAAAAAGAAATATATTAAAATAAATATAAAATAAGAAAGAACAATAAAATAGAAAGTATATTTATTTTATATTTTATTTAATAGCCCATGGGTTCTAAGAAATTTTATCACTGTCTTTATGGTGGATTCGTTGTTGATTAATACTGCTAATAAATCCAGTTTTAGAGATAATCGATTTAGGCTTGAAGTATAAGTGCATTCTTGGAAAATAGGATTGATAGTGTTTCTCAAAATCGGTCTTGGTCTTGCACTTTGCAAGACCATGACCAACACCGCCTATGTGTTGCAAGACCAAGACAAAGACTGGTAAAAAAAAATCGATTTTTTAAATAAAAATTTAGGCAAAATAGTTAGTAATACTTGACAATTTTAGTAAAGAACTGTAAAGAATTGGTGTAACCAATATACTTTTGCATTTAACTCTTTTAATTTTTCATTCAGACTTAGTCAGGTTTCTCATATCTAAAAAATAATAGTAATAAGCTAAAAGGTAACTGCAAGACTGTTACGAGAGTCTTGCGCAAGACCAAGACCTACACCAAGACTGAGTTTGCAAGATCAAGACAAGCCTCGGTCTCGCATTTGGGCAACACTAATGATTGATTGTGTGAGGGCTATTGTAGTGTTGACAATTTGGTGGTGGCTGCTTAGTGATGATATGTACATGAGTTAGGTTCGTGTATCCTATTCTCAACCTGGTCACGGCGACCTCCACTCTACGATTAGGGCGGTTTGATGTTTTTGTTGCGGCTTCACTGATTTTTTAACAACTTTTAATTTGCTATGGCCAATAGTCCCCTTTAAATAGTTTTAACAATGATCAACTTTACTTTCTTGTAAATTTTATCTAGTTTACATTCAAATAATTGTTAATTACTTAAATTAAATATTTCTTGAGTTATCGCTTCCTCTTCCACAAAAGCATGACTTACTTAAAAAAAAAAACACAAAAAACTTCGATTCCCCAATTTTCTGCTGGAATTTCCCACTGAAAATTTGCCTATTATTTATATGAACTTATTTGTAGCTCTTACTGTTTACTATCATTCCTATAAAATGTTCATTCAACTTACATGATACCCTATATAATGCTATATATTGTAACAGTATTATATTGCATTTCACCAGAGGCGGATCTACAGGGCGTGAAAGGCTTTCGGACTGAAGGTTCCCAAAATAGTAAAATATAACCATGTTTATAGAGAAAAATTTTAATAACTACCAATTAAAGTATTATTGTTCCTGTAATTACATTTAATAGGACTTCAAGAATCACTTAATCACCATGTAATAGGTAGTTAGTTTCTTTCTTTTTTTTCAAATTTATTATCGTTATATATATATATATATATATATATATGAAAACAAAAGCTTTCGGGCTGAAGCCTCTTCCCCAAAATTAAATCCTGGATCCACTAGTGCATTTCACCAATTAGAATGCATTAGAATCCAAATTATTAGTATTCGAAATTTATTCACAAATATTAACACACAGAAGGAGAGTCGAAATCGCAAATTATATCAATACCTACTTTCTAATTAGTTAAAAAGTCTTATTAGCTAGTCCCTAAAAGTAGAAAAGAAATCAATCTTGAAAGCTAATTGATTGGATTTTACAGAGCCCTAAGGAAGACAAAATATGTTGAAACTTTGGCAAATATAACAAAATATGATATATATATATATATATATATATATATATATATATATATATATATATATATATATATATATATATATATATATATATATAGTGTTATATATTTACCCGATCATCTCCTTCTTATATTTGATTTATAAAAATAAAAAATATTGTACTTACTAGGCCAGCGACTACGGCGAGACAAAAGACAAAGACGATGGCTGACTTCATGATGGCAACTGAGCTACCGTTGAACTGGCGGTCGTGCCTTAAGTACACTCCACCTTGACCGTCGCCTCTTTGTTTATAGTCCATCAAAATGTCGGTTTCCAGAACTGTAAATCATTTTCTCAGCTGCAATTACCCGGCCTTGTGTCGGCAAAACAACAGCTGATTCACCTTGGTGAACATCTTTCGTAAGAACTATCTTGAGACAATAATCGAGCCTCTGCAATACTGCAAACGGTACCGACACGCGAGGACGTGAACTTGATCAGTCGGCTAGTAAAATATTACTATCACGATCAAAAAAAAAAAAAAAAAATGAAAGAATTGATAAACTTGGATAAATATACAATGGTTCACATTTAAATTGATAAACCCCGTTGACAAATATAAAAAAATAATTAAATAATTACAGTAAAGAAATAAAACCAGAAACTCTTCAACAGATTTATTTATAATCTGAATTGAAATATATACAAACCCAAAAAAGTTGAAATATTTAAAAAAAAACTAAAAAAAAACGCTGCAAATTATTTATTATTATCTAAAGTAACATTACCTTCCTAGTTACAAAAAAAAAAATAAAAGGTGATTCCAATTATTGGACTAAACTTTTTATTTTAATCATTAGTAATATGCTAAAAAAAATAGCATTACTTCAGTAACACATTTGGAGTAGAACATATTAAAAAAAAATGGAGATCATATCATTGTTCCCAATTATCCAATTTTAACGATTTTTTTTATTTGTTTTTTTAGAAAATCCAATAATTTTTTAAAAAACAAAAATACAATATCGACAAAAAATGTATACTTTTTGAGTTATTGGGAATTAAATTTTACCATCCCTCGTATTTTTTTTTTTAGCTCCTTTTCGTTGAAGTATGAAATATAGATAAATTTACAGGGCGTCAAGAAAATGACTTTAGCGAAGTTTCATTGAAATCGGGACATTCTTTTAGGAGCTGCAGTCTATAGCAACGCAGGTTTTTCGGTCGCCATTTTGGAAGTAAAATTCGGATAGTAATGTCGATGAAGGAGGATCATCCTCGGATGACCTCTGATTTTATATCAAAATTTGAAATAACATTGGTCTAGGAGTTTCGGAGATAATGGGCGGACGGCGGACGGTCAAAAAAAATTTTATTCGTTATTCGAATTCTACTTATCCTGAAACGTAAAACCTAAAATGTTGAGAAGGGGCTAAGTTTTTGAATTTTTTGGTAGATCACAATGGTTGATTATTGAAAATAATAAACCAAAAACAGGATAATTTTACTTTACAGGCAAAATGATACTATTTCTTATTATATTTTAAATATTATTAATTTAGTACAATGCGCTATAGACAAGCAATTATTTTCTACAATTTCTTTCAATATGTTTTTAATGGTTTCGACTAATTATTCTGTGAATTCTGGGCTTATTCTGTTTCACACTTCAAGGAGATATTTTTTACGTTTTTTTTTTTTTTTTTGAAATTTCCTGTTTTCCAATTTCTACCTCCAATTTCGTCCAAAGGTGTTCTATCACATTAAGATCTGGTGACTGTGGTGGTATTTTTTTTATAACTTTGGAAGAGTTATAAAGTAGCTGTTCCTTAATTAAAGTGCCAGAGAGTCATTATCTTGATAAAACTAAATTTGTTTTTTAGTCTCAAATGTTACGGAATCTCTTCTAAGTTTATTTTCAAAATGTCTATTTAAACATGTTTATTCACTTTACCATCTATTGAGTGTGATTTCCTACATCAGAAGCCGCCATAAACACCCATACCAAGAAAAATAATATAAGAAAAAACATAAAATAGCTTAAGAACAAGAAAAAGAATATTGTCAGGATGTTTATTGATTTTAACAAATTATTTTTTCAATGTAATATTTATTTATTTAAGAGTACCTATGCATGTATATTATTTTGACTGTGAGATACTGTATTTGAAACAAGCATACTGCGGTTTGACGATTTCATTTATAGTGTGTCGTAATAGTAAAGGAAAATAATAATAAAATAGTACTGGGCTGCGAGATCAATAAACGCAAAACTTAAAGAATAGATGTATAATTAAAGAAAATTAAACTAATTCTCAAGAGAATAAATACCTTTATTATATAAAATAAAGTTTGTTGAAAGGCTGTCAGAATATAATAATTAAGCATTTATTATCATATTATACAACATATTTCAAGTTTTATAACTATAAATACTGATTAACATAAAGCAAAAGTTATATCTTTCCTTTAAAAAAATAGGAATAATATTTTTTTCCTTAGGTAAGGTTTCATAGGATTGTGAGAAAGAAATATGAAACCAATGTAATAGGCCATCAAAGAGTTTGAAACAGCTTCCCGTATCGAACAACCTTTTCCTTCCATGCGATTTCACCTGGAAGCATTCATTTCAACAACGCAAATGGAAGCTGCACAACACTTGCCCATCTTTTCGAAACATTTTTAATGTTTATTAGGAATAATATTTGTATAATTTACTTATATTTGTCAGAAATTATTAACTCTTTAATTCTAAATTTCCTAAATGTTCTAATTTAGTTTAACCATTATTATTAAATTAAAACTTAATACTGCTGCAGATTACGAAAGCCATATTGATATCTTCATTTTTTTTAAGCAGATGTGACCTCGCTAATCTATAACACTGAAGATGAGCTGAGGTTTTGTCACTGCCTCTACAGATATATATATATATATATATATATATATATATATATATATATATATATATATATATATATATATATATATATATATTCTTTTTCTGGACATCTGGAATGAATAATAAATAAATAACATTATTTTCTCATATTAACAGTGAAAAAATTAGGATTCTATATAAATATATTTTCAGAAGCTAATTTATTTATACTAAAATTACGATAAATACTAAATTTAGTTTAAAGGATATTGCTATAGAAATATTAGTTACAATTATTGATATTCACTATATTTAACATTTATAAGTTAGTTTAACTGCAAGACTGAAAGAAAAAGAACAGAAGTATGGTGGTATAGGAAGTTATTTGGTGTATCTGCATTCTGTATTTTTATTTAGAATTCTCTGATTGACAATCTATGAAATCCGATAAAAGAATACTAGATATGACCACTAATAACCACTAATACTTTACCTCAGTCAATTCCTATTCAGTCTTGAATTATAATTTGTAGTGTAAATATAGCTTATTGGTTTCTTAGTTACAGAAAGTAGTGACTGTCGATTTAGAGTAATTGTAAGTACTATGTCTTGTCGACTTTCTCTTACAATTAATATAATATTGTTCATAATTTTATTTTATGATAATTATTTTCTGAAAAATTTAAATAAATCTGGCATTGCGGTCCATTAAGATCCAAAGCCTCCTCCGTTATTCTGCTCCATTCTGCTTTATCAGTAGTCTTGGTGCGTTTGACGGTTAGCTTTTGAAGCCCCTCTTCTACATTATCCAGGCTTCGTTCGAGAACCTGCAGGATGAACATAACAGCATTTGTCTAGGTAATCTCGACATAAACAATCCTTCCCACATGTGCAAGGTAACTCATTATTTTTTTCTTAATAACTACCACTAAGTCTGCTTCGAAAAATAACTCTTTCAACTCCAAGTTTGTCCTTATCCTGTATCAATCTTCCTTTCGTTTTTTTTATGCCAAATCATTACATATGGCATAAAAACACATACTGCTACTACCTACACATGCCCTTATGTCTTCTGTGGTCTCGTTATTCCATGTGACAATTTTTCCAAGGTACTTTAAGGAGCTGCATGTTGAGAATAAGTGCTGACCTATCTTGAACCCTTCTTCTTTAAAAACACCATCTCTATTTGTTAGTGTTGCCCAAAATCGGTCTTGGTCTTGCAAAACGCACCTTTTCAACTTTGCAAGACCAAGACCAACACCGCCTATCTGTTGCAAAACCAAGACTGTTAAATAAAATCGATGTTTTGAATGAATATTGAGGCAAAATAGTTACTAATACTTGACAATTTTAGTTACTATATGTAAAGAATTGGTGCAACCAATATACTTTTGCATTTAACTCTTCTAATTTTTCATTCAGACTTAATTAGCTTTCTAATATCTAAAAAAAATACAGAAACATCTCTCTAGTAATATAATAATAGGTAACTGCAGGACTACTACGAGAGTCTTGCACAAGACGAAGACCTAGACCAATACTGAGTTTGCAAGACTAAGACTCGTCTCGGTCTCGCATTTGGGCAACACTACTATTATTATTTAAGTACTTATTTTATCCCTCATTAATAACCAAGCCAAGTTCCTTAACTGCTCTTTCAAACTCTTCGTGTTCTCCTGCAAATACCGGCAGTGATCTTACCAAAATTACTTTATTGGCATATCCTATACATATAGGCATATCCTATATAATTTGTTGAAGATAGTTCCTCCTGGCTTAGTTCTGATTATTATTGCGTATACCAAGGCTAAATTGAGAAGAACCGGAAAAGAGACTCTCCTTGAAGTAACCACGTTCCACTTTGAATGCGTAAGACATGTGCGAATGGACTTCAACTCTGCATTTCGTGTCTGTAAGAATCATTTTTATCAGACTTATACGTTTTTTGGACTTATGCATCTTTCTCAGTGACAACAGTAGTTGTTTAATACCAATACTGTCGTACGCTTGCTTAACATCTTTAATTACATGGTAAATGTTACTTTTTACATATATGAATTTTCCAAGTTAGAAAATCGTTTCTCCTCTTTCCAGTCGTTTCTTCTACAAATGTACTCACTCTTTGGAACAAAGCTATAGACATAACTTTATATGCAGTGTTTAGGAGGATAAATATACATATTATAATATAATATGAAAATAATATATATAAAATATTTCTTCGGCTTTTATTGGGCCTATGCTGAATGGTACGATATATAGATGATTGTTTTCAATGTAAAATAAATTTCAAAGGTTTTCAGTATAACTACAGTTTGTTAAAATTGAAGGGTTAAAATTTGTAAGTTTATTTGGAACTTAACAAGTGCTTTTTAGAATTTCAAATTTCTTTTCTTTTGATGAATTAAACTCTGAAACAAATTATAAAATGTTCAAAAACGAATCATATATTT